GGTAGATCTGAGGAAACGGTTTCCTCTTTTCTTTTTAAATTCATACTCTGTGTAGGATTTGAGACTTTAAACAGCTTAAAGAGCATTTTTGTTCCGGTTTAAATAAATATAATATCAAAATACAAGAATTGAACATTCCACTTGCTGTATATATAAGTTCTGAACAACTGTATGCACCACACCTGCTTATAAGTGTTAACCCTACCCCTACTTGTGTTCACATACCTGCTACATCTCATCCTTAATGGGACTACTTACACGAGTAAAGTTAGCAGGTGCTTAAACTTTTGCAGAATCAAAGGCATTGACTGTTAAGCTTTTTTGGTAGGGACAATCCATTATAAATGTGCTCTAGCACAATAGGGCCCTGACTTAGCCAAAGCCTTTATTATCAGCCCAATATAAATAAATGAGGCTAGAGATAAAAACATGAGGTCTAAGAATATACACATTTTATTTCTGCTTAAATCCATACTGACAGCAAGATTTTATCCTATCTAGTAATACTGTTATCCAGGCCAGACACAATAGGATGTTATGCCATATACTTTACGGCTACATCTACACTGGCACCCTTTTCCAGAAATGCTTAAAACAGAACAAAATACAGGACTATGTAGCACTTTAAAGACTAACAAGATGGTTGTTAGTCTTTAAAGTGCTACATAGTCCTGTATTTTGTTTCAGCTACACCAGACTAACACGGCTACATTTCTATCACTCTTAAAACGGAACAGTTTTCCATTATAAGTATTTCCGGAAAAAGTGCGTCTACATTGGCAGGATGCTTTTCCAGAAAAGCACTTTTTCCGGAAAAGCGTCCGTGGCCAATGTAGACGCACTTTTCCGGAAAAAAGCCCCAATTGTCCTTTTCGCCATCGGGGCTTTTTTGCAGAAAAGACTACTGTGCTGTCTACACTGGCCCTTTTCTGGAACAGTTTTTCCGGAAAAGGACTTTTGCCCGAACGGGAGCAGCATAGTTTTTCCGGAAAAACACTGACAATTTTACAGTAGATCATCATTGCTTTTCCGGAAAAGCAAGCGGCCAGTGTAGACAGCTGGCAAGTTATTCCAGAAAAGCAGCTGCTTTTCCAGAATAAGTGGCCCAGTGTAGACACAGCCTACATGTACTCAGTTTTTTAAATCAAGATTTTGGAATGAGAGACCTGACTGGGACAGCCAGAGAGATCAGTTTTCAGTGCAAAAAGAACAAAATAGATTAGTGACAAGAGGCAGAAGCAGAGTGAGATGATAATTGGTTTGGGTTACTCAGTCAAAGACACAAGTGTAGGCAGGTGCCCATTCCCAGGGGGTGAGGCCAGGCAGCCATGATCACCTGAGGGTAGGGAGGCAATTTAGGGATTTTAAAAAATGGCAGGATCAAAGAATTTAAGATGATAAACTCACAGAACATGATATGCAATTACAGGCAAGTGACTTCAAATTGCTTCTGAAACTACACACAAGTACAACAGTCCCCTTGAAATAATGCTCCACTTGAAGTATATCACTGCTATGAAATAAGAACTACATTTTGTTTTTCAAAGAGAGACCTGAGCACTTGACTCATTGGACAGTGAGTGCCAGACATAAAACAGCATTGTTCTAAAGTCACTTTGTAATATAGTAGTTCTGGCCACACAAAATAGAAAAAGAAATTAAGAATATTTTTTGTTTCTTAAAGAACTCCGAGCCTTGATGCTAAATAGTTGCTTTGAAATTCTGGTTGTGCCGGAGGTTTCAGAGTTCTTGATCTGAAACAGTAATGCCAATTATAGACCTTGATAACTAGGAATAGCTGCATTACAGACCTACGATGGCAAGAAGAAATCCTGACAAAATAAAACCACTCTGTGTTGACTCCCACTCTCCTTGTCTCCACCAGCAGGAAGGAGCTACATCTATAAACCTGTAGTAATTCACTTCTTAAGGAAGATATCAACCTTTATAATGTTCAAAAAAAGAGGGTAAGGAGAGAACAGTACTATTTGTGCTTCTATTTAATTAGAATATAGGTTAGTGGCAGGAGTAGGGGAGAAATGACATGACTCTTAGGTTAGGTTTCCGCAGCCTGCCCCTTCAATCAAAAGCTGAGGAAATTTCCACATGAATATCAGTCATCTCAGAATCATTCCAATAGCAAACAGATATTTTTCCCAGTATCCCCTTTTTTCATGCAACAATGGCTTGATTCAAAACCCTTTGCAACCAACAGAGCCATTCTACAGACTTCTCTCAGTCTAAGGAAGCTCACCTTCTTGGCCTGACTACACCTAAGCACAGTCATAAGTTATGTAACAAAGTATTACAACTGGTTACAGTCTAGAACAAAGCACTAACAGTAAATGGCAACATTGTGATGTTGCATTTACTATCCATTTACCTGTGTCATGTTTCTACAGTAACCAAGAGCTTCAAACACAAGTCCATAATAGGAAAGTGTAGTAAATTGAGAATTTTATTACTTGGTCCATCTAGTCCGATCTGTTCCCCATCACTCATTAAAAACAGCATTAGCAAGCATCTCAATACAGAAAATGGAACAATCAAGCAGTCAATACAATATACAATAGGTTTATTCAATACAGCATTTGTCAAAGTTCATTTTTCAGTGTATTTAGGTTTTCTAATCCAAAAATAGATAATGCTACCCAAGAATAAAAATGTACGAAAAATATAAACAACTGGTATTTCAAAGTACAATTTTTAGTATACTTTATGTAGTCAGAAAAATGGCAAACAAGTGTTAAAAATTACCAGCCAAATAAAGTTAGCTTTTTCCCTATATATGTTTTGTGCACCAACACATTTCCTTTACGGACAGGAAGGATATAAGCATTTGTAGAAACATCAAAATATGAACAAGACCCAGTGCATTTTATATGAAAATATTGTATTCTTAAAAATATGTAAAGAAAACTAGAATTGCAAGGTAACAAAAAGGAAAAATAGTGACATTTGAGAAGACATAAGATAAATTATTTCTAGAGTGTAAACTTTGTAGCGGCTTAAAAAAATCACGAGTACTTTAATTTGGCTTAGCAGCCATGAAAAAACAAAAAGCTGCTTTTTCTTAAAGTGCTTAATCACCATATCCAAGAGTAATGACTTTCGGACCTACTTAATATGAATGTGCTCAAAAAGCCACTGCTTACGGTATGAAAGCTATCATTCTGTACATACAAATTGGCTTTATCAGCATGAATGAAAGATTGCTTTGAACAGATCTCCATCATATGATGCTTCAAATTAAAGTAATGCTATTAGGACAGCAGTTGAGTTAGGCCCAGCAAGTAGAAATCTGAACACAATAAATATAAAAATAGTAATTTAAAACAAATGTAATTTTCCCTCAGCCCCATGAAGGTAACTTCATGTAATAAGCAACATATATTCTTTTACTATTTTGACACTAACTGTAACAGATCAAAAGTATCAAGAATATATTTCCTCAGACAAGAAATCCAACCCACAAATCAACCACTCAAGGGGATTCATGTGATTAACAGAGAGAGATAATACTTCCTATTCACAAAATACCAGGAAGCAGTTGTAATGGATAGCAGCCAAAGGCTCACACATCATGTTAGTTAATGAGACACTATCAACTTGGTTTTATTTTCTTCTTTAAACTGACAGTATAACTTAACTATTTTAAAAAAAACAATTATTTAAAGAGCTTTAAAATTATTTTACTCCCTTGTTTATGTTTGTCTGGGAAAGGGAAAAAAGTGACTAATTGGTTACAGAGGCAAAAGAGTGAAACTAACAAAACAAAAGTTCTGTCAAATATACAAGATTATTTAAAGGAAAAAAAATGCTAACTTTTCAGTTGTACAATAATCATGGGTATCAATTTTTTAAATATAAATGTGATTTTTCCAGTTGATGTGTTCTTTTAAAGTTGCAAAATGGAACAAAATCATTATCAGAATAAAATCTCCAATGTCCACCACAATTTTTTTTTCATTTCACTGTAGTAGAAATTTCAGGAAAATGTAGGCCTAGTATTTATCAACCTGGATATCCTGTATTAATGCAACTTTAGAACAGCATTCTTTCAACAGTCCCATCAATTTTAGTAACAATGTTGTAACCTTTTATCTTCCTCCAGAGTTTGAGTTTATTTTAACCCATTACATGGACTTCATTTCCAGTAAGCTTCTAGGAAGTCAAGTACTAACTGCAAATAAGGACACAAAGTCAAAGATCCAAGCACAGCACATTCACTTTAAGCCAGTTCTAAAGTTATAGAACATCTGTGCATTACTCGCTACTGCATATATATCTTTTTCGTGTATATCCATTTGTATCTTAAATCAGAGGAAATTCCTAATCAGGATTTTATATATTTTATTTATATATACACACACAGAGGGCTCGACAAAGAATGCAATCTACTCACCCGTGGCGAGTAGATTGCAACCTGGAAGAGCCGGGTTCGGGCGATCTGTG